GAACTGAGTAAACATCGAATCTCCGGAAGAATGCATTAGGTCCCCTAATATGTGAAAGGTGAATGTCTTCTGTCTTGTTGCTAATTCCTAAGTCACACTGGAGCAGCTTAATGTCCTGCACAACATTATCACCTGAGTCTGCGTTGGGCCCAGCTGATAGGGACAGCTTTCTCATTTAATTTGTGTTCTTTTTAAGTGTTTGTTGGGGCAAACATTGCATTTTTTTTCATCTTTAAAAATTACACAGGAACAGGGGATGAATGCTAAGTGAATGCCAATCACTTTGAACCTGAAGGCACTTTAGGTTTTCTTCTGACCTCTTGACAGGCTCATTCACACAACGTGGAGTCACATTTGAATAATTAACTTCTGTAAGTACCCTGCTTTCCAGTGAATGAATTAAAGTAAGGAATAAAGCCTGTGGGTTAGAAAAACAATTTCAGGAAATCACTATTTTATGAGGAATAAAGAACAAATGGAAACAGACTAAAATGATTTTCTTTTTCTTTTTTTTTTCTTTGAATTGGAGTCTCCCTTTGTTGCCCAGACTGGAGTGCAGCAGCATGCTCACGGCCATGGAACTACAGGTGCACACCACCATGCCTGGCTAATTTTTTAATTTATTGTAGAGATAAGGTCTCACTAAGTTGCCCAGGCTGGTCTTGAACCCTTGAAGTCAGGCAATCCTTTTGTCTCGCCTCCCAAAGTGTTGGGGTTACAGGCTTGAGCCACTGCGCCTGGCCTATGGTTTTCTTTAGATGGAGGGACTGTGAGTAAAATATCTTTTTTTTTTTTTTTTTTTTTTTTTAGTCTGGGTCTTATGCTGTTACCCAGGCTGGAGAACAGTGGCATGATCACCGCCACTACAGCCTTGGATTGCTGGGCTCAGAAGATCCTTCCACCTCAACCTTCCAAGTAGCTGAAACTGCAGGCACATACCACCATGCCTGGCTATTTATTTATTTATTTATTGTAGAGACATGGTCTCACCAAGTTGCCCAAGCTGGTGTCAAACCCCTGGGCTCAGGTAATCCTCTCACCTTCACCTCCCAAAGTACTGGGATTACAGGTGTGAGCCACTGTGTACAGCTAAAAATATATTTTTGTTATTCTTTGATTTCCACATTTTCTCAAGTGAGTATATACTGCTCTTATAATAGGAAGAAAACTTTTCCATTGCTATTTAAATAACTGGTAAATAGTAAAGTCCAGATGAAAAGTAGCCACAGTTTATAATGTGATTAATAAAACAAACTAGGAGTAGATTCCAATTAGGCCAATATTTTGAGAGTTAAGTGGGGATTGTGAAAAAGAGAATTATAGCTGCTAGCAGAAATTCACTATGTAAGATTCAAGCCACCTCATCCCCTTTTTGAAATGTGACTGATGTCAAAACAAAATAAAATAGAAATTCAACTTATGGGCATTTGTTATAGCCGGATTGCCAGAAAGGAGACACCAACACGCAGAGGGTCGAATTTTCGAATCCTCTATTAGTTGGCAGTTGAGAGTAGGCTAGTGTCAGGGAAACTCTCGACCCCAAACAGAGTGAGCAGGGGGTTTATAAAGGTAAAAATCACAGAAGCTGTCTAGTTATGATTACATTTCTTGGCAGAACACTTGACAGTTATGATTAGATATGGAACTTGCGTTTAGGGAGTTTCCAAGCACCGAGGGAAACAATGTGGGTGTGTGGTATGATTACGGGAAGGTTACACAAGGGAGTTATTTCTAGGATAAGATGGAGGATCTGTTACAAAATGGAGTTACTTCTGTCAAGTAAGTTATTACAGGCTATTACAGGTTTTGCAGATAGATATTTCACATTCAATAGCTCTGTTAAGTTTGTGGGTGCCTGGGAGCTAAGAAAAGAACCACTGTGCAATAGGAGTGCTAAATATCATCAGGCTTTTTTTTTTCAACTTGGCTGCCAACATGCCATCCACACTGAGGAAGACCTGGAAACTTCGGGGCTATGTGAGCCAAGGCCGTGGCCGCATCAGCGAGCACCGAAAGCACCCGGGAAGTTATAGCAATGCTGGTGACTTGCATCACCACAGGATCGATTTCAACAAAAATAAGAGGAACCAGAGCTTCTGTCCAACTGTCAGCCTTGATAAATTTTGGAGTTTGGTCAGTGAGCAGACAAGGGTGTATATTGCTGAAAACAAGACTGGAGCTACTCCCATCATTGATGTGGTGTGATCGGGCTACTACAAAAGTCTGGGAAAGGGAAAACTCCCAAAGCATCCTGTCATTGTGAAGGCCAAATTCTTCAGCAGAAGAGCTGAAGAGATTAAAGGTGTGGGGGGAGCCTGTATCATTGTGACTTGAAGCCACACAGAGGGACGTTCATTAAATGCTAATGAATGTTTTAAAATATATATATCGAATCTGACCTTGATGAACAGTGGAAGAAATCATGATGTGTGAAATTCTTTGATTAAGAATTTATTTAAGAAATTTTTTAATGTCCTACATACAATAAAGAAAACTCTACACTGTTAAAAAAAAATCATTGCCGGGCTCGGTGGCTCAGCCTATAATCCCGTGCCTTTGAGAGGCTGAGGTGAGTGGATTGCCTGAGCCCGCGGGTTCGAGACCCACCTGGGCAGCGAGACCTCATCTCTACAATAAATAAAAAAATCAGCTGGGCGTGGTAGCACATTCCTGTAATTTCAGCTACTTGGAAGCTGAAGCGGAAGGATCACCGGAGCCCAGCAGGTCGAGGCTGCGGTGGCCGGGAGCGGCCACTGCACTCCAGTCTGGGCGACAGAGTGAGACTCCAACTCAAAAAAAAAAAAAATCATTAGGCTTGTGTCCTGTGTATCACTTACATTGTTGGAATGTTCATGATTGGCCTGTGGGGCTCATAGTCTGAGGAGTGTTCCCAGTTTACATCTCCCAGGTGCCTTGAAGAAATGATAAAACGATTTTTGTTGGTCTGTCCTAATGTAGGCATAACTGGAATTTATTTTCATGTATTGGTTAATAATAGCTAAAAGAGCCGGGCATGGTGGTTCATGCCTGTAATCTCAGCACTTTGGGAGGTGGAGGTGAGAGGATTGTCTGAGGCCAGGGGTTCGAGACCAGCATGGGCAACTTGGCAAAACCTTGTCTCTACAATAAATTAAAAAATTAGCTGGGTATGGTGGCATGCGCCTGTAGTTTCAGCTACTTGGAAGGCCGAGTCAGAAGGACCACCTGAGCCTATAGGTCAAGGTTGCAGTGGCCTTGAGTATGCTACTGCACACCAGCCTGGGCAACAGAAGGAGACTCTGTTTTAAGTAAATAAATGAATAAATAAAAGGGTGTTGTGGCTCCTGCCTATAATCCCAGCACTTTAGGAGACCAAGGTGAGAGGATTGCCTGAGCCCACTCCAACTCAAATAAATAAGTAAATAAATAAAAGATAGTCTGGAACCGGGGCTCGGTGGCTCAGCCTGTAATCCTGCGCCTTTGGGAGGCTGAGGTGAGTGGATTGCCTGAGCCTGCGGGTTCGAGACCCGCCTGGGCAGCGAGACCTCATCTCTACAATAAAGTCAAAAAATCAGCCAGGCGTGGTAGCGCATGCCTATAATTCTGGCTACTTGGAAGGCTGAGGCGGAAGGATCGCCGGAGCCCAGCAGGTCGAGGCTGCGGTGGCCGGGAGTGGCCACTGCACTCCAATCTGGGCGACAGAGTGAGACTCCAACTCAAAAAAAAAAAAAAGATAGTCTGGACCACATAGCATCTCTAAGGTAATTAAATCAAAACCATGCCATTCTGTCTCTGGAGAGTAAACAAAAGAGTGGATTAATATAGTAGACTAATACCTTCTAAAGGCTTTTTTGATTTCTACCAATCAGGAGTCATTGCTCCTCCTTTGAACTCTTATAGCCCTTTTTTTTTTTTTTTTTTTTGAGATGGAGTCCCATCATCCCCTTTTATATTCTCTGAATCCATCCTCCAAACTGTTGCTTCCTGAATCATAGCTTTGAGAATCTTGTTTCCTTACGTATCCATCTTTGATAACTAAAATGTGAGGGTAAAGCCTATTGTATTAATTATCTGTTGTTGTATAAAAATATTACCATAACCGGTACGGTGGCTCATGTCTATAATCCCAGCACTTTGGGAGGTGGATGCGAGAGGATTGTCTGAGCTCAGGAGTTCGAGCTCAGCCTGAGCAATATGGTGAGACCTCTTTCCCACAATAAGTCAGAAAATCAGCTGGGCATGGTGGCGCATGCCTGTGGTTTCAGCTATTTGGAAGGCCGAGGTAGAAGGATCGCCAGAGCCCAGCAGGTCAAGGCTGCAGTGGTCGAACATGCCACTGCACTCCAGCTTGGGCGACAGAGTAAGACTCCTACTCAAAAAAAATTACCTTAAACTTAGTGGCCTAAAATAGCACACATTTATTATCTCTCAGTTTCTGTGGGTCAGGAGTCAGGGTTACTAGGTCCTCTTCAAGTCTGCAATCAAGATATCAGTTGACTTCTCATCTCAACTGGGGAAGGATTCCCTTCCAGGTTCCTGTGGTTGTTGGCAGCATTGAGTTCCCTGCAGATTGTTGGAGTGAGGGTCTCAGTTTCTTACTGTCTTTCAGCTGAAGGATGCTCTCAGTTCCTTGCCACAGGGCCCTCTCACAGAATGTCAGCTTACTTCTTCAAAGCTAGCAGAGGAGGGTGTTTTTCAGCAAGACAGATGTAAAAATAATATGTCATGCATTCATGTATAGGCACTCACATACATTCCATCACTTTTGCCACGTGCAAGCCACAAGTCCCACCCACACTTAGTGAGGGGATGATGTAAGGGTGTGAATATCAGGAAGCAAGAATCCTGTGGGCCAGGTGAGTCCCACTTGAGTCTCTGTCTGCCATAGCAATGTGTCTTCAGCACCCTGAACAGTGCGTGACACAGAGTAAGTGCTCATATTTGAACAAATGTGTGTAGTGTGATTATTTTGTTTCCAATTCCTGGCTTAAGCCTTTTTCCTCACTTCTCTTCTGTTTCAGAGTTACTGACTTACTCTTGAGACTCCTCTACTGTCATCTGTCCTCATGGATGAACTTCAAGATGTTCAACTCACAGAGATCAAACCACTTCTAAATGATAAGGTAAAGACTGTTTTCACTAAAATATATACAAGTCTTTTCTTCTGATACTCATTTGCTATATCATCTGAGTAGTACCTTCACTCAAAACATATTTAGATTGACTTTCAATGGAGAGAATACTTTAAAAAAACATATGCGAGGGGGAACCCCCAAAAAACCTGGGATTATCTTTGGAGAGCAGGCCCCTTGTAGTACAGGCTTCCAGCTAGGTAAGTGTTCTAGGAACCAATTGGCATCAGTGTACCAGCTAGCGTTGTTGTAAGATACTACATTCAGCTTCAGTGAATTTTTTTTGGAGATTGTTTCAACGATTTGACCATTTACTGTGGGTAATTTGCGAGTGTACCTGCTCACACTATGCTGAGTGTTCAGCGGTTTTTGACCAAAAAATAGCTTGGTCCCCATGCCCTACCCTTCCTGTTCACCTAGTTTTGCCCCAAGTGACTTTTTTTTGTTTCCCCGGATGAAAAAATTCCTCAAAGGGAAATGTTTTGCTGATGTGGAAGAGGTGAAACAAAAAATGGCAGAAGCACTAAAAGGCATCCAAACTGGGGCAACCCCCTTCAGGTCCCCTCCCACTGTGGGAGCTTTTCTGTCCTTTGAATAAATCCTGCTTTCTTTAAAAAAAAAAAAAAAAGGCATCCAAACTGATGAGTTCATAAACTGTTTTGAGCAGTGGAAAAAAACATCTCATTAGGTATTTTGCATCAAACAGAGGTACTTTTGAAGATGAAATTTAAACGTGTAAGAATAAATATATAATTTTTTATAAATAAATTTTTTTATTTTAAAAATGTGAGGTAGAGTTCAGGATGTGGTATACAAGTCGTCATCATATAGGTAAAGTTTGGGCCTCCCTTTGGTCCCCACTTTGCTGGTTTGAGATCAGGTACCCTTACTGATGCATGTACCCGCCCCCCTTCCCACGGTGTCCTGCCAATCCCTTTTTTACGGTATTATGGTAAATGTTCAGGGTCCGCTTATGAGTGAGAACATATATTCTGGGTTTTTAAATCCCTCCTTTATATTTCATCACCCTCTTTTGATGTCTTCCCTCCTTTTCTTTCTACCTTTGTTTCCATGGGCCAGATTCAATTAGGTTATCTTTGAGATTTTCCTATTTTACAGATAGAGATGTTAAGGGGGGAAAAATATAATGGCAAAGTCAAACAGAAAGTATGAGGTTGGAGTTTGACTAAAAATCCAAGTGTTTTGACTTTCAGTTTCTATAAGAAAAATCCAGACCTGGTGCAGTGGCTCATGCCTTTAATCTCAGCACTTTGGAGGCTAAGGCAGGAGTATTGCTCGAACCCAGGAGTTCAAGACCAGCCTGGGAAACATAGCAAGACCTTGTCTCTACAGAAAATAAAAAAATTTAGCTGGGCATGGTAGTGCCCAGGTGACTGAGGCAGAAGGATTACTTAAACTCAGAAGGTTGAGGTTACAGTGAGCTATGATCGTGCCACTGCACTCCAACTTGGGCAACAGATTGAGACCCTGAGTCAAATAACAAGGAAAAAATTAACATCCATGGTTGGTGAAATACATAGGCTGCAACGCCCTCCCTAAAGTTTGTAAAGTTTTTCAGGTGAACTTTCTGTTGGCATCACAGTTTTCATCAGCGATGCTTGAATGTCAGTAACGTTCCTCATTTTTATGTTAGTGTTAGAGAAGTACAAGGTGCACAGCATGGTTGACAGCCACCAGGACTCAGCAAATAAAGGGTGGCGTGATACGAGTTACCAAAAAGTTAAGAAAGGCTTATTTTCTCTCTTGTCCCTCTTTGTTCAGTATACATGCCTGAAATTCCTTCCTTTTCACCTTGTTCTTTGGATTTATTGCCCTTGTCCCCTATTCAGATACTCTTATGGCTTGGTATGAATGAGTCCATGGCATCCTTTCCTGAGGGAGGGTGAACGGAGAGTAAGGATGAAGATATATGATGTTGGGGTTGGGGGCTACACCAGAAGATTCTATTGCTTATTAGCTTTTCCTGCCCAAAGCAAAGCACTTCACCCACAACTTTGGGGCTGCTGACTTTTTATGTGTTTACTAATTTGTTGCATCCTGCTAGCCCCTTTTCATCCCTGTGACCTCTCCATCTCCACTCCCAACCCTTCATTTATCTTTCACTAGACTTCTTGCATTCTCCCTTGGCAAGCTGCACACTTTTTAAACACATGTTTGGTTTCTCCTGCTGCTTCCTCTCATGTTTCCAGAAAACTCTCTCCTTTGTGTACCATCTTTTTGTACATGTGAAGGACTGTCTCAAAAACATGTGCCATGAAGGAGGAAGGAAATAAAATCTGCATCTGTAAAGCTGAGCCATAGAAATGAATAGTTACAAGGCAGTTAGAGTAGGCAGTTTAGCTTTAGGAAGTTAGTAATCTATCCACAACCTGGTTGATCATCAGAGTCAGCTGGGGAATACAGATTCCTGGGTCCCACTCTAGACCAACTTAATTGGAATCTGGAGGGTGAATAGAGGGGGCAGGACACACCCACACCCTCTGTGATCAGTCATTCTTTTTTTTTTTTTAGATTGGAAAATATAGTTTATTTAGAAAGTAAATTGGAGAGAGGAGATTCACCTCCCCAAGGTAGGGGAGGGGGCCAAAGCTAAGAAAATATAGCAGCCATACCTCAAAGAGCATTTGGCTTGACCAGTGCTTAACAAAACAATGGTGAGAAAATAAATTAGAGAGAAAGTGAGAGGAGATTCACCTCTCCAAGGTAGGGGAAGGGGCCAAAACTAGGAAACATGGCACAGTCATAGCTCAAAGAGCCGCATGGATTCACCAGAGTTTAACAAAGCAATGGCTGTTTTCGAGTTCTTAACTTCGGCTTCTTGTTGGAACTACCTGGGGAGATTTAAAAACTACTGATGCTTAAGTTCTGCCTCTTACTGATACCTGACTGAATTGGTCTGGGGTGTGGTTGAACTTTTATAAAAGCTCCCAAGATTGTGGCCTGGTGTGGTGGCTCATGCCTGTAATTCCAGCACTTTGGGAGGCAGAAGTGAGAGGATTACCTGAGCCCAGGGGTTCGAGACCAACCTGGGCAACTTGACGAGATATCTTCTCTACAATAAGTAAATTTAAAAATAAGTAAATAAATAAAGTTAGCTGGTCATGGTGGCATGTGCCTGTAGTTCCAGCTACTTGGAAGGCTGAGGTGGAAGGTTCACCTGAGCCCAGCAGGTCAAAGATGCAGTAGTTATGATTGTGCCACTGTACTCTAGCCTGGGTGACAGAGTGACTCTGACTCCAAAAAAGTCCCAAACCAAACCAAACAAAAAGCTCCCAAGGTTGAGAACTGTGCCTAAAGTGATTCTGATTAGTTAATGTTGTGGACCCATGACCTGATGTGATTCAGATATTTGAGGACTGGGACACAAATAAAAGGAAAGTCCTTCCATAACCCTGAAAGTCTGCACAATGCCCAAGGAAGCACCTAAATGAAAGAATCAAGGAGTTAATTGATTGGTTATCTCATAGAAAAGGCAGCTGGCAAAAGAAAGATTTAGTATGAACCCACAGAATTAATGTCTGAGCCACTTCTCTGAGACTGCAGAGATGCTTTAGTTGTGTCTGATGCATGTGAATTGTGTCCTCCACAACTTTATATTTTGAAGTCTTAATCCCTCCCCCATGTGACTGTATTGAAGATAGTGCTTTTATGGAGGTTATTAAAGTTAAATAAAGTCACAAGAATGGAGCCCTAATCCGATAGGTTGGGTGGCTTTATAAGAAGAGGAAGAGAGATCCTACATCTCTCTTTCTCTTTCTCTCCCCATGCCATGTGAGGACACAGCACGAAGGCGGCTGTCTAGAAACCAGTAAGAGAGCCCTCACCAGACCAGAACCCTGCCGAGAACCTTGAGCTTGAACCTTCCAGCCTCCAGAACTGTGAGAAAATAAATATCTAGGCTGGGCATGGTTGCTCACACCTGTAATCTCAGCTCTTCAGGAGGCACTTGAGGCCGAGAGTTCAAGACCAGCCTGGGCAACATAGCAAGACCCCATCTCTACAAAAAATAATTTTAAAAATTAGCCAGGGTAGAGAGGCTGCGGCCCCAGGCACCTAGTCTTCCGATGAGACTGAGGACCAAAGGGGGAAAGTGATGTCCCCAAAGTCACAGAATAATTGTTAGAGCTGGACAAAAATCCAAGCCTGTAACTGCAGAGACCAGAGATATTTCTGTTACACTCTTGGGAAACAGATACTAAGATCTTTATAGATCCGATGGGGGGAAATGCCTAAAGTCAAAAGAAGCCGGAAGGTACCCCCAGACGGTTGGGAGTTGATAGACCCAACATTAGATGAATTAGATCAAAAGATGAGAGATGCTGAAACAGAACCTCATGAAGGGAAGAGGAAAGTGGAATCTCTGTGGCCCATCTTCAGTATCCACCACCAGAAAACTCACTATATCTTTTGACCTCTTTTACAAGCGGAAAGCCATCAGCAGAGAACTATATGAATGTTGTGTTAAGGAAGGCTATGCAGACAAAAACCTGATTGCAAAATGGAAAAAGCAAGGGTACAAGAACTTGTGCTGCCTGTGGTGCATTCAGACACAGGACACCAATTTTGGGACAAACTGCATCTGCCGGGTTCCTAAAAGCAAGCTGGAAGTGGGCCGCATCATCGAATGCACACACTGTGGCTGCCGCCATCGAGTGCACACACTGTGGCTGCTCTGGCTAAGTCTTGGACTTTGGACTCCAAGGATTCCTGCCTGTGGCACCACCCCCTTTCCTGGGAGCAGCACTTCAGGCAGAGTAGTGCCCCAGACCCAAGCTGGAGCATGGTCTCCATAGGTGAAGGCTTTACTATCCATCGACTGTGATTTTGTAAAAATAAAACCTTTCAACCTGCTGGAAAAAAAAAAATTAGCCAGGCATGGTGGTGCACATCTGTAGTCCCAGCTACTCTGGAGGCTGAGGTGGGAGGATTGCTTGAGCCCAGGAGGTCAGTGCTGCAGTGAGCTATGATGG